TATCTAATAAATTAAACAAGTTAAATAATCCTATAAAAACAATGGAACTGACCAATAATAAAATGTTTACCATCTAAAAAAGGACCACATTGATTCATTGTAGAATCATCAATGAAGACCTAAAGAATACTACTGAGGTCATTTATTAAATAGGAAAGGAAGAAATCCTTCCAAATTCTTTTTATGAAGCTCTTATTTCCTTGACATTTAAACCAGGTAAAGACATGACAAAAGAAACAAAGAGGTGTTACAGACTGATCTCTCTCATGAATAGAGACATAAAAAGATTCTCAATAAAAGACAAACTGAATTTAGGATCACACTAGAAAGATCATTTATCATGATCAAGTTGACTTCATCCCAGAGATGCAAGGGTGTTTCAACATAAATCAAAAATGTAATTTATCATATAAATAGACTCAAACAGAGAAAACACACAATCATCTCGACAGACACAACAGAAGTTTTGATAAAAATCCAACAACTCTTCATGACAAACAACATGGAGAGTCAAGGTACAGAGAGAGCCTATCTCACAAAACAAGCTATACATAGAGAACAGTATGCTAAGTGAAGAAAAACTCAGATTTCCCACATAGACCAGGAACAAGACAAGGATGTTCCCTTCAACACACTGCTATTCAATGTAGTGTTTGAAATCTTTACTAGAACAACAAGAAGCATCCCCTTGTGGTAGACGTCAAGTAGCACAAAGACCCTCACTGGTCAACATTAAGTAACTAAAGGCTATAACTAAAGGCTATAGAGTGTGCAGTCCTGAATCAGACATTCACAACTCACCCCAAAGATGAGTCATTTGAAGAACAGAGTCCAAGAGCTAGAGACGGTAAATGACTTTGAAGAAAAATGTTTTACAGACACACAAACTCCGAGCAATTATGACAGCACCCTCAAGGCCCATGGAAGCCTAAAGCTCCAGCCAGACAAAAGCATGGAGTCGGGGAGGGAGATATGTCATCTCACCACTAGTAGAGATGCTGTTAACATCTGATGACTTGTGGGAGAGGGAGAGCCTGGTTTTTGTTTGTTTGTTTGTTTTAATGTGTCTGTTGGTAAGCTGACCACGCTCCAAAGCTCCAATCTCATGACTATGGGAGTAACACAAATGCAACTCAATGAGGAAAGAAGAAGAAAAAGTCATAATCTCAAAGTTGGAGGGGAAGGGGTTGGAGGGTTGAGAGGGTGATGAAAAGAGGAATGGAGAGGGGTGGATGTCCACAGAATCTTGTATGTAATCCTCAGAGAATTAATAAGTATTATTTTAAAAGAGAGAAGGGATAAAAGATGTACAAATTAGAAAGAAAAGTCAAAATATTACTGTTTGACAAAATTCAATACAGAAGCCTCTGAAAGAGTTCACGAAAGCTCATAGAGTCGTGGTTCTCAACCTGTGTGGGTCACAACCCCATCAACAAACCTGTCTCTGAAAATATTTACCTTATGGTTCATTGCGGTAACAAAATTACAGTTATGAAGTATCAACAAAATAATTTTAGGGTTGGGGGTCCCCACAGCACGAGAAACTGTATTCAAGGCTTATAGTGTTAGGAAGGTTGAGAACCACTGTTAGAGATACTTGCACATACATGCTCATTGCTGCTCTATCATAGAGGCTAAGAGGTGGAATCCACCTCTATGTCCATCGATTGCTGAATGGATAGTGAAAATCCATCTGCCTTTTAACTCTTTTTTAAAATTGTGGGATTTCTTTCAAGACTGTGTCACAATATAGTAGTTTTCCATATGGTTTTGGCTAAAGCTCCCTCCCATCCCCTCATCTCTTCCATGTCCAACTCACCTTCATGCTTTTAAACCCTTCTAGTCTCTACTTTCAGTTCATGCCTGTTCTCATCACCCCCTCCCCCTATGCAACATAAAAGGATGCAGCACATCTTTGCCCCTTCAAACAAATGTCACACAACATAGACAAACGTAACACACCTTTGATTAATAGTCTACAACAGGGCCAGGGCATTTAACCTGAAACACCTGTAGAGGTCATGAAATTAGAAAGGGGGGTATTGGGATGGGGAATGTTGAGGGAGAAAGTGATGAGAACAGGCATGAACTGAAGTAGAGACTATAAGGTTTAAGCAGGGAGGGGAGTTGGACATGGAAGAGATGAGGGTGGGAGGGAGCTTTAGACAAAATCATATGGAAAACTACTATATTGTGACACAGTCTTGAAAGAAATCCCACAACTTTAAAATAGAGTTAAAAGGCAGATACCTTGCATGGTTGAATAATTCTTTTTCTAGAAACTGTGGATTATTAAACAACTTTGCAGGGCTGGTTATGGAATATCCATGTAGGAGTCATTGGCCAAAGAGATTGTTATGCACTTGGAGCTGAGTTAGTTGGTATTTGAATACTTTTTTTCAAAATCATGTTGTTCTTAAATATGACTAAAGTAAAATGACCTGGGCCAGACTCTAGAAGTCCTGATTCAGCACCGGCTACAATAAAATCGGACTGAGCCAAAGTTCATTCTTGTCCCTGTGTGGATCATTTTTTCCCTCCCTGCTGTAAGTCCTACAGGGCAATCACCACAAAGGCTGCTAAGAGAGAAAAAAGGCACCAGCAGTCTTATTTTTCCGTGAATCCTATGAACTTCAATACCAACCTGCCGTTCAAGATGTGCCCACTGGTACAATGGTGGGCCCCACTGCTATGGAGATAACCAATCATTTTCTAATTAGATTAGCCCTCCCCACAGGAGGAAATCTGTGACTGTAAACCTGTAAATATGGTTAAAAACACATGATTGGAGGAAATTCATAAGCCCTGGAGGGAACTTGGCATTACTGTTTAGCTAAATCGACAAAGCATCAAACTGTGTTCTAAACCTGTATTTGTACACATAGAAAAATAATGTTGTCGTCCTAATTATAAAAACTTCTTTTAGTGGTGAATAGAGGTAAATACAGAGACTTCTGGGTACTCAGGATGCTGAGACAACTGAAGGTTCAGCCCTAAAAAGAAATTTATAGCAACTTCTCTGAGACTCAGAGAGTATTATGGAAAGGGGGGAGGCAGAAAAATAAAGAGAATGACTATCAGATGTTATCTTCTGGGCATGAGACAGCCATTGAAATGACAAACTCATAGTAGTTCCTGCTAAAAACTGATGTTTTCAGCAATCAGTGTAATGGGGTGCACATGGGGATCTTAGGACTTTACTGTCTCTGCTGAGCTGTGGATACTGATATTCTAGATTCTAAAAGAGACTGAGTTAATTGTCTTCCACTGTTTACTGGTGGTGAGTCCACCAAGTTCCATGGATAGTTCCAAACCCATCGTCATGCAGATAGCCCTGGTTAAAGTCAATGGGTCATAAAATAAAACAAAAAGAAAAGAATATGAGCTGAGACCTTTAGAGAAGGCGGGGTGGTGTGGGAGAATTGTCTGTATTCTGTCAATCATATTTTAATAAAACGCTGATTGGCCAGGCAGGCAGTATAGGCAGGAAAGCCAGACAGGAAGTAGGGGTGGAGCAAAGAGACTAGAAATATTCTGGAAAGCAGGAAGCTCCCTCTGGCACTCCTGCACAGACCACCGAAGAGGCAGGATGTAATCTGCCCAGCTGAGAAAGGTACTGAGCCGTGTGGCTAATGTAGATAAGGATAATGGGGTAACATAAGTTATAAGAGCTAATAATTAGCCTGACCTAATGGGTCAATCAGCTTTATAACTTATAGAGATCTCTGTGTGGTTGATTTTCTCTGGGACTTGCCGGTTGTGGGGTACCAGGCGGGAACAGAACCCCAACAAGCCGGCCCTCATGTTACAGAGGGGGTTGATAAGAGTGAGAGGGAGATAAATAAATGGAGGATGTGAATAATCAGAGCACACTATATGTGTGTATGAAAATAGTCAAAGAACAGATTCAGTTAAGAAAGAGGTAACCCAGGAAAATTCTCTGTTCTGACTTTTATGCCTTAAGTTAAATCCAAGTCAATAAATTATCTACTGTGGAAATATTTACCACTTTAGACATACTATTTTATAATGAGGGGTTATCTTATTTACCATACCACCTGTTAGAGATGACCGGGAGTGGAAGACAGTGTCCTGTTATCAAAGAATTCATAAAATTGGCAGAATGGACACTTATGCATAAACCCTCAAATGAAATTAGCTATAACTTTTAAGTTCAGACATCCAACAAGACCCGTTCAGGCAACACCTGGAAGGGCACACAAACTTGCACACCCTTGGCTTTAAAAATCCCCTAAGTCACATCAGACATGCTCTGATGATATCTTAAGAGTTTGGTACAAAGTTTCCCCATTGCTTATAGAGGTGGGCAGTTCCTCACGATGAATCACATGGAAAACATGCACCCTTCTCTAATCACCATACAACCCTATTTACTCTGCTCCTCACTGAGCACCGACGCAAATTCCTGTACTACCTAGAGGAACCGAACTTTATAAACCTAAAGGAATTATAAAAGGATCCTTTTCATTAAACCACTGGCATCTGTCTCTGTTTTGGGCTGGGGTTATGTTGGTCCATGGAACAACAAGATCTATAAAACACTACGACTGTGATCTACACCCACCCAGATCCTGGCTACCTGTGAAGTCGGCTCTCGTCCCAAATGAGAGTGTGTTTTTATCCCTGTATCCACCAAAGAAACACAATAAAAATTAATTAACACCCTTTTCACTTCTGTCCTTATTTGTTAGAAATCTAATTAGGCCCAAGTAGAAAAAGAATCTGGCTATTATGATCAGTCTCAATGTGCTTTAGAAAATCTTGGGCACTGGACTAGGTGAGGATGTCAGCAGGTTGCAATGGTCTTTAATTTACAGTCCTATACAAGTGCAAAAAGGAAAATATTTGTTGGGAAAGTTGATAGTGGTTACTAGAGCCAAATAAAAATTATCCCTGGTACCTGTGAAATAGCAATAATTATGCAGGCATGTGTGTAGGGCTGTTTATGAGAAAGACCTTGAGGATTTCTATCTTCTCAGGCAATTGCTGTTTACTGAGCACATAATATACGTCAGGCAAATTGGACCTTTGAAGTGTCAGAAGAATTCAGCAAGTAAGTAACTATAAGGATTCTTATTTTACAGAGAAGAAATAACTGGGGGAATGTTTCTCAAGGTTGAAAGGAAATGGATTTTTCCTATTGATTTATAAGCTGTGGTGGGGTAGAGTCCCTCAGAGTCTAAATCACTCTTATAAAATATGTTAGTCAAAGTTGACTCAAAGCGATTAGGTAAGTAACTGAGGCAACCAGAGCAAGAACTTCCATACAGGTCAGTATGTGAATGACAACGCTCACATTCTTTTACATTGTGTCATACTGTCTCCTGGAAGTGCTGGCATCATATATCAGCGGTGAGGGAATTACAATGTATGCTAAATGGCATAAAACCTATAACCAAAAAGAAACCATGCAATCTCAAATATATGGGGCAACTGCCAGCATCAAATCAATTGATAACATCCAAGTATTTGCTTGAAGTGGAATCTTATTCATGGTTATGAATATGAAGCACTTGTGCAAGGTGATGAGCTATAACCAGGTTAGCTGTTGATGGAAACTATGAGTGACGGAGACTTAGAGAGTTAGAGCCATGTCCTCCCACCTTCTTGGTGGATGCCAGATTCAATGCAGGATCTTCGTGCTCAAAAATCCAAGAGGGAAACCTTTGTAGGTTGGGCAATAGAAGTGCCTTTTAGTAAAGCTTCCATATTCACAGCAGGAAGATTTCCTTGTGAGGGTCTCCCTCAGATGAGTTAGGATTCTCTGGAGTGAACACAGGGGTTTGTTGGTGAAGCAAGGTGGATCTATAGCTTTAGCTGAAAAAACCATTTTATATATAAGATCCAAATCTACTTAATAGACAAAAGATTATTTATAATTTCTGTTTCTACTTTTGTTAACTTTCATCTGTGGCATTTTCTATAGCCTCTTTTCCATATTATTCAAATTGTTGTTTGATGCAAGACCCTTATGGGTAGATCTGATTTAAGTTCCGGAGAGGTTAAGGATTTCTTATTCAATATCTTGGATTTTGGCTTAACTCTTCTGTAGCAAATGTTTTGGGGAAAAAAACAAAGCAGTTTGAGGCTTTTTAAGTTTCTAGCTCCCCACTCCTGGCAGATTTGTCTGCCAAAGACTTTGGTGAGAATGTTTGTCTCTCCTGGTGCCTGCTACTTCAGCAAACTCAGCTGTCAGTCACACACTAAGCACAAAGAAAGGCTGAGGGTGATCAGGTGGCCTTTCCCATTCCTGTTAACTCGGGCAGCTATTTCTTGAACTTCTGCAATGTATCTGTTAGTACCCAGGTGTTGTAGGGAGAGCTTTACCCCGGGGATCACTGCTGTATCCTATTTAGAAGCACAGGTTTGTAAAGACCTACCTACAGGCAGAAAAACCTTTGGTTACAAGTAGCAACATAGCTTAAGAGAAAACCGATTAATAGTTTCCTCTGAGTGATGGGTCCATTTGTAAAGGTGGATGCCTCCAACTACTGAGGATGTAGAAACAAAAAAATAAAGCTGAACCTCTTCTGGCTATAATTCATTTATGCACCTATTCCTGTTTCAGGCATCATTCCCTCTAAATAGATTGAAAAGGAAGATGTGTGACTGCTCAGAGCAAAATCCATATCACATCATTAGAGAAAAAATAAGCAGTCTGTGGACAGTGAGGGCAAATGCACTTCTACCATAATCCATGCCTTTGCCTTTTCGTCTGCTAGAGCTGCTTCTTGCACTTAAGTTTTGCAATGTTTCCTGCTTCACTTATGATAAGCTGAATCCTGGGTCTCCACCATCTTTTGTATCCACGTCAGGATAATTCATGTTGGACTTCTAATTGGTGCTTAATAAGTACGGGGGCATGGGTGGCCGTGGAGGTGGATTACCTGATTGCAGTTAATACTGGTCAGCAGGTAAAAGACAATGGGTTTCCCAGTTTCCAACTGTCATGGAAAAATCCTTTTAAAACACCATGGGTTATTGTTTGTTGCATGTTTTATGTAACATTCCTCTGAAAACAAAATTAAATGAGAAAATGGGAAAGGGTGTCTCATTAAACTTGGAGTCATTTTGTCAACACGTATCTTGGTTTTAACATGTTGTTCTTTGTTGTGACATCATGCATCCCACTGTTTACCTTCTAGGAAGGAAAATGTGGATGACTTTAGTCCTACCCTCCAAGGGAGTAGGTTATCGGATGAGCAGAACTGTGTCAAACAGGTAGCCCCATTTCCTCCCAACTGGTTCATGTGTCTCTGTCCAGAAAGAAGGCATTTTGAATCTCTTTTTTTTCACATACTTCACACACAGACAGAAATCTCCGACAAAAGGGTCAATGCCCAGAGCCTGAGCCTGAAGTGGAGCAGATCCTGCCATAGCCGTAGCTGGGCAGCAGCAGGAGGAGGTATGTGGGTTAATAGCATTTAAGCACAGGTCTTTTAAGGGAATTGATAAAGGGTTATAAGGCATAGTGTCACAGTAAAGAGCACAGTTTCTGCCATCAGAATCCTGGCCTTTCTGTGTGAGTGGCCTTAGCGGTTCCTAATTTGTACCATAGAGCTATTGTGATGAAGTGGAATAATGCATGTGATTAGCATGATGCCAGCCATAACCAATAGTTGCTATTGATGGCTTTATTGACTGGTGCAGGAAAGTTTAGCAATAGAACTCCCGACTATTTGTCACCATGGTAAAAAGCTGGTGTGGTGATGACTGTACGTAAGTGTGGAAATAATAATCGGTCTATTTTAAATGTATAGTTCATGTCCATTTGTTTTAGTTAGGGTTACTATTGCTATGGTTTAACGCCATAACCAAAAGCTGGTTGGAGAGGAAACAGTTTGTTGGGCATAGACTTCCACATCATCGTCTATCACCGAAGGAAGTCAGGATAGGAACTTAATTAGGGCTGGAACCTGGAGGCAGGAGCTGATGCAGAGGCCACAGAGGGGTGCTGCTTACTGCCTTGCTCAACCTCCTTTCATATAGAACCCAGGATTAACAGCCTAGATATGACACTACCCACAATTGGCTGGAGATCACTAATTAAAAAAAAAAAAAAGAATTACTGATCTGCCTGCAAACTGGTCTTGTGGAGGTATTTCCTCAAACCTATGTCAAGTTGACATAAAAGTGTCTTGCCTAATATTCTTTTTACCCAGTAAAATATCCAACCTAATCGTTTTGAAATCATGTGTCTCAAGGTCAGAGACCAACAGTAAAAGCTAAGACTCCAAACTGTGATGAGGAAAATTAGATGCACACTTGAATGAATGTCTGTGCTGCCCAGGATACACACTTGTCAAAATCTCCTAGACTACCATGTACAAAACATAATATTAAATGTCATTTTTAAAAACAGATAATTACAAAGAAGCTCAGAAGAGTGGTTATTAATATTTTTATGTATTTACCCTGCATTTATTTTGCTCTACAACAACTCTGAAGTAGCTAGCATGCAAGCTGCATTCCCTTCTCAATTCTCAAGCTTTTGCTTCTCTACTCTTTCCTAATTTAACCCTTTCTGGAAATGCTTTTTTCATCTATCTATTTTCCATTTGCAACTGATTTGAATTTTATCTAATATGAGCTAAGAACTATATATACTACAGACAGAAGAATGCTGGCCCCATTCATTCCGTAGTGAAGGAATAGGTAAGGAAGGAATGTTTTATTAACACAGAAGACATGAGCACAGACTAAGAAGTAGTGAGATGTGAGCCTTAAGAATGATGGGAGTCAGTCCACTCTAGACAAGAAGTGGGGATGCTGGCGTGGCGAAAGGTATGAAGGCATGGAGCAGTTCAAGGCAACAGGAAATGTACATTTACCAGCTCTTACCCAGATATGAAGTTCAAAGTAGTAATTCATAAAAATGGATCTTAGAAAAGTAGACATGAGAAAATTAAAATTAATTTAAAGGGCACTTATTTCATTTTAAGAATTTGGAATTATTTTTACACGGAGTATGGAACTGATAAAGGATACTGAACCACAGAAAGACATGACCAGACTTCACATTTTCCATCAATTACTGGCTACAGGAGAAGAGCTTGTTGTAAGAGGTGTAGCGAATAGTTATAGACATTTCCCTGTGACCCATGGGAGAAGCATGTGAACCTGACTGCAGGCTGTGCAAAGGTTCTTTGTTGCTTTGTCTTATTGTGGCCTTTTTCCTGTTTGTTTTCCAAAGACAAAGAGAGAAGAAGGTGTGGAGCTGGAAGAAGACCTGAAGTGTAGAAGATCTGGGAGGAGATGAGGGAGTGAAACCATCATTAGAATACATTGTATGAAAATATTGTATGAAAAAGGAAATATGCCCTGCAATGCAGCCAGGCCTAAGTTGTTCATGCAGGTATTGTCTTCAGTTACGTGTGTGTCATAGCAGCAAAGACCCTGAATATTTGCCATCTGGTGATGACCTTCCTGACCTTTTCCTTGCTGATCCTCTTTTTCCAGAATAATGTCCTTTTAAGTAGCCACATTTGTCCTGTATTATGTCTCCATATGTTAAAATCTTTCAACTTTGTCCAATCCCCGACCTGAACTGATAGGACACCTCCCTGATGCCCACTGGCCATGTGAGTATGGTCCTTAACGTCTCCAGCTTCTCCTGAGTTTCTAAAATTCACCATAATTTCCCCCTTGGAATCCTACTAATAATTTCTGCATAAATTTACATGGAAATTTGTTTTACATATAGTATTAAATCTTAATGTTTTCAAGCAGTGGGGCTGAGTGGCTAGACATATGAAACAGTAAATACTTGGCGTCTTATTCGCCTGAGGTATCAGGAGGTTGATAACCTCCAGAGGAGAAAACGAAACTGGAACACTTCAGTTGGTGAGGATGAGCAGAAAATGGAATTCTTAGATACAGGTGGTAGAAATGTGCATTAGTGTGGTGTGACAGAAAGCAGCACCTAGGGTCTTTGGCAGATTAAAATGAGAACTCACGTGTGATCCATTGATCTGACTAACTGGGTAAGCACATAAAGTAAACGGACTCACTATGACATTCCCGTGTTCATGTGAGCACCCATGCTTGTGGCAGCACTAGTCACAAAGAAATGTGGTACAGACACGCAATGCTAATACCATTTGGTCACAAAAATAAATGGAATTCTGCGATTTTTGACAACAGAAATGAACCTTGAAGACATCGTGGTACATGAAATAAGGCAGGCACAGGAAGATGAATTCTACATTATCTCATTTATCAGAAGATGTTATCACATGGAAGCAGAAGGTAGAAAGATGACCACTGGCGGCCGGTACTCAAAGGAGATTGGAATATAGAATATGTTGGCGTTCCACTGTGCACACTTACCCCTTGGGTCCAAACCCTGGTCTTGTCATGTACTGCTCTAAGTGAATTCTTCGTAATTCAGTCTCTCAGAAGATGGAGGTACGACTGCAAAATGTTCCATTATAAACACAGCATACTTAAGACAGTGCTAAGGAAGCACTGCACATTTTATTACTTTTAATTTCCTTCACTTTGTCAACCTGTATTTTTAAAGAGCTAACACTCTTTCCTCTCTACATTCCAGCTGAACTCCCTATTCCTCCATTGCTTGGCTCCCTGTCTTTCATTGTTTCTACCCATGTCAGCGGCTGTATTAACTGTGTCTCATAAATCTTCTCTCTTCTTTGTTTGCTTATTTACTAAATGACATCTGTAATATTTTAGCGTGTGATGTTTTGTTATATGTACATGCTGTGAAATATCTAGAGTTTATGATTATGCATTCCTCATACTCTTATGAGATAAACTGCTTGAAATCCATTCTTCTAGCAATATTCAAGTACACAAAAGATTACTGACGATATACTGTATAACCACCATGATATACATTACATCTTGGACTTCTCCTAACTGAAATTTTATAGTGTCTGGCAAGCATCTCCCCAGTCAGACCTTCCATCTCCCAGATTATGATAGCCACCATTCCTCCTCTCTGACATACAACTCTTAATCATGTCATTTTACACCTGGCTTATTTCACTTAACATAATCATCTCCAGTATCAACCATGTTGTAATAAATGACAGAATTTCATCTTTTCATAATTGAATAATAGTTTACATCTGTACCCATTGATAGACACTTTGGTTGCTTCCATGTCTTGGCAACTGAAAATAGGGCTATAATGAACATAGTAATGGAGTTACTATTTGCATATTGATTTCATTTCTTTAAAATATATACCCAGTAGCGGGTGACTGCCTGACTATGTGGTAGTTCTAGCTTTAGCCTTTTGAGTCACCTGCTTATTGCTTTCTATATGGCTGTACCCATTTACATTTTTATCAATATGCAAAACTTTCCTTTTATCCTCACAGACATTTTATGTTTCTTGAATATTCATTGACTTGTTTACTCATTTGTTTATTTTTATTTTATAGTGCTTAGGGTTAAATTTAGAGCTTTGTATATGATAATGACAAAGCATACCATTGAATTATGATCAACCTATTTAAATTTTAATAATATTCATCCTGAGATGTGTTATGTGAAATCTCATTACAGTTTAATTTACATTTCTCTGATGATCAGTGATATTCATAATTTTAGTCTCAAATTTAAATCTTTCATTCACTTTGAGTAGATTGTTGCATATAAGATAAGGGAAAATTTCATTCTCCTGAGTATAGAGACTCGAGCCTTCTAATACCATTTTTGAAAAGGCTGTCATTTCGCTATTGTTTATTCTTGGTATCTTTATCAGAAAGCAATTGGCTGTGGATGTAAAGCTTTATTCTTGGGCTCTCTCTTCTGTTCCTTTAGTCGATGTGTTTTCTATGCAATTCTATCAAAAGTTTGTATCAAACCTTGATGTTTTGATAATCTTAGGTTTTCGATATCCTTGTCTCTCATCTTTCATAGAATGCAGCTCCAAATGGATCAAAAACTTGAACCTAAGACTCAGTGTCCTGAATCTGGGAGGATAAAGCAAGGAATATACTTGAAATGATTGGCATAATAAAGGACACTCTGAACAAGATCTCTCTGTAATAGACATTCAGACTAACAATTAATAAATGGAACTTCACAAAATTAAAACACTTCTTAGAGCAGAGGACCCATCATTCAAGTGAAGAGGCAGGCTACAGAATGGGGAAAAATATCTTAGCCTTTTATACATCTGATGGAGAGTTAGTATCTAGAATACACTACTCAAAAACTAAACACCAAGAAAACAAGCAGCCCATATAATAAAAATCAAGAAAGGCAACGTTTCTTTGTTCTTTATGTTCAAGATTGCTTGGTTATATGAGCTAATATCTTCACAATTGTGATCATAAGTTAGATTCCTAGATTTAGCAATTGATAGCATTGGGAATCATAATGAAGGTTGAGAAGCCAAGATCTTAAAAAATCTTTGCAATATAAACTCTCTATATCTCATGAGAGAAGGAACCTTACCAGGCCTGTTGGTTCTCACGTGTTCCTAAAACAGTTTTTATAAGTATAAAGTATTCATGAGTAGTCATGAAGAACTGAAGGGAACCTCACAGGGAAGCAGAAGTCTAGTAGGGAAAAGTGAACAATGAGTTCTTGTCCTTCATCAGAAGCAGTTCCTCTGACCTAATAGTCTACCATCAGTGTGAAAGCAGCTGCCAAGTTAACAAGAGCTTAAGGGGACAGTGTAAGGCAAATCAGAGGATGCTTTATCACAAACATGGTCTAGGACCAGTCCTAGCTATAGTAGCAGTTTTGCAACTCCAGAAACTATAGGATGCTACTTGTTAACTAACTCTTAATCAGAGATATATTCTAGAATTGCAAGAATTAAACATTTTTGTCGGGTGGTGGTGGTGCATGCCTTTAATCCCAGCACTCAGGAGGCAGAGGCTTGGTGGATCTCTGTGAGTTCAAGGCCAGCCTTGTCTACAAGAGCTAGTTCCGGGACAGGCTTCAAAGCTACAGAGAAATGCTGTCTTGAAAAAGCCAAAAAAAGAATTAAGCATTTTCTATACTGAATATGTGTAATAATATTCCCAATATTCTGCTACAACATAAATAATAATTCATGTTGTCAATGTTTTTTGAAGTTCTCAATTCAACATAAGTTTGGTAAGTATATATCTGATTTCATACATGGCAATGGATGGACCAATCATTTTAAAAGAAAATAGTAACACAGTGTGGCTATTACCTTTCTGAGTAAATACCACTCAAGAGGTATATTCAGAATCACAAATGATGGCATATGATATATGTCAAACATGACAAGAAGGGAAGGCCATTGGAAAACAAATAACAGAACTGTTTTCTCCAACAAATGATTCATCTATATAGATCTTGGAAATGACTAAAATGACCATTTAAGTACAATTTGAATTTTAAAATTGGAATGTTCCATACAGTGAAGAAGTGATACAAGTATTAGACAAGTGAGAATACAGGGAGTCTAACACATTAAAGAAGCAGGGAATACTCTAGCTGCCTAGACTATAGTACTTCGGCAGCAGAAAAGATAAGGTAGTATTCTAATGTGTATATATTCCACACTTTCTTTACCCATTCTTCTATTGAGGGGCATGTAGGTTGTTTCCAGGTTCTGACTATTACAAATAGTGCTGCTATGAATATAGTTGATCAAATGCTTTTGTAGTATGATTGGGCATCTCTTGGGTATATTCCCAAGAGTGGTATTTCTGGGTATTGAGGTAGGTTGATTCCCAATTTTCTGAGAAACCGCCACACTGATTTCCAAAGCGGTTGCACAAGTTTGCATTCCCACCAGCAATGGATGAGTGTTCCCCTTACTCCACATCCTTCTCCAGCATAGGTTATCATTGGTGTTTTTGATTTTAGCCATTCTGACAGGTGTAAGATGGTATCTCAAAGCTGTTTTGATTTGCATTTCCCTGATCACTAAGAAAGTTGAACATGACCTTAAGTGTCTTTTGGCCATTTGAACTTCTTCTGTTGAGAATTCTCTGTTCAGTTCAGTACCCCATTTTTTAATTGGGTTAATTAGATTTTTAATGTCTAGTTTCTTGAGTTCTTTATATATTTTGGAGAAAGTGTGGCATATATATGCATTAAAGTTCCACTCAGCGGTAAAAAACAATGACATCTTGAATTTTGCATGCAAATGGATGGAAATAGAAAACACTATTCTGAGTGAGATAACCCAGACCCAAAAAGATAAATATGGTATGTACTCACACATTAGTGGACTCTAGCCATAAACAAAGGACATTGAGCCTATAGTTCTCAAACCTAGAGAAGCCAAATAACAAGATGAACCCAAAGAAAAACATATATAGATCCTCCTGGAAATTGGAAGCAAACAAGATCACAGGGCAAAAGTTGGGAGCATGGGGGTATGGAAGAGGGGGAGAGAGAAGGGAGAAGGGAAAGACTGGGGAGAGCTTGGGGGAGTGGGAGGGTAGAGATGGAGGAAGGGCAGATATAGGAACAAGGAAGAAGATATCTACATTAAGGGGGCCATTTTAGGGTTGACAAGAGACTTGGCTTTAGAGGGGATCCCAGGGGTCCACGAGGATGTCCCCAGCTAGGTCCTTGGGCAGCAGAGCAGAGGGCACCTGAACTGACCTTCCCCCACTATCACACTGATGATTATCTCGAATATCACCATAAAATCTTTGTCCGGTGATGGATGGAGATAGAGACAGAGACCCTCAACAGAGCAATGGACTGAGATCCCAAGGTCCAGTTGAAGAGCAGAAGGAGGGAGAAGATGAGCAAGGAAGTCAAGACCATGAAGGGTTGGTCCACCAACTGAGACAGTGTGCCTGATCTACTGGGAGCTCACCAAATTCAGTTGGACCAGGACTGAACGAGCATGTGATGAAACCGGATTCTCTGAATGTGGCTGCCAATGGGGGTGGACTGAGAAGCCATTGACAAAGGAACTGGTACTTGTTTTTACTGTATGTGCTGGCTTTTTGGGACCCTAGTCTATTTGGATGCACACATTCCTAGGCCTGGATGGAGAGGGGAGGGCCTTGGACTTCCCACAGGGTAGGATTCCCTGCTCTCTCTTAAGGAGGGAGAGGGAGGGAGGAGGCTGAGTCAGGGAGTGGGAGGGGAATGGAAGGAGCAGAGGAAGTGTTAATTTTTGAATGAAAAAATATAATGTAGAGAATACGTTTGAGAACAGATTAGGGAATATTTAATTGCCACAAGCATTGGGAAGTCATTTGAGGGATTTTAGGGGGAAAGCATTATGTTACATCTTAGAAAAATGGATTCTCAGAGTTAATTCTCTGCTCTCTGCAAAGAAATTCCCTGAGGTCTATATAACTTTATGTTTTCCTAGTTTCTTCACCTGTGGTTGATGATAGGACCATTTTGTGATGGTTTTCATATATACTAAATGAAATAAAGTATGCAAAATTCTTAAAACAATGCCAAAATCAGATCAAATGTCTCTGACTGTTGAGGAACAGCGAACATCTCATTTCGGCCTATTGTTCAGGCCTATTTGAGAGACCTGCCTTTGAATCATCCTGGATCACAAGGCACTGTGTAGCAGGCAGAATCGGTATGGTGTTGAGTTGCTGTTGTCACCAGAACCCTTTGTCACAGCAGGAGCTGTGACAGACACCTTCTTTCCAGTCCCCTTTGCTGCACAAAGGTTGGGGTGCCAGGAGCCCCATGTGTGAGAAGACTAGCTTTTGATCACTCCTGTTATACAGGAGAGGCGGCCGTCTAGAATGTAAGGTAAACTCTTTCTCTGTTTCCTAAACCAACATATTCTATATCATTGTTCTTTTTCAGAGTTCTCTCCTGTGACACCGTTTAAAGGAATCTTGTCCTTTGGATTTAGAGGACGGGTCCTTTTTAAACTGTCTCTAGAATTTTCTGTCAAGTAGCTATTTTTGAACATACTCAATGCTGAAGTTCCAGGGGTTGTTACAGCACAGCAAATTAATTTTTTCAAAAGACAAAAGACCTTTATTTATGCCTAGATAGATAGATGATAGATAGATAGATGGATAGATAGATAGATGGATAGATAGATGGATAGATAGATAGATAGATGGATGGATGGATGGATGGATGGATGGAT